ACCTCACAGACAGGATGGACTATCAGAACATATCATGTCAGTGATTGTATCAAAGCCAGCTCTAAGATGTATAAACCTTACAGACAGGATGGACTATCAGAACATATCATGTCAGTGATTGTATCAAAGCCAGCTCTAAGATGTATAAAACTCACAGACAGGATGGACTATCAGAACATATCATGTCAGTGATTGTATCAAAGCCGGCTCTAAGATGTATAAACCTCACAGACAGGATGGACTATCAGAACATATCATGTCAGTGATTGTATCAAAGCCAGCTCTAAGATGTATAAACCTCACAGACAGGATGGACTATCAGAACATATCATGTCAGTGATTGTATCAAAGCCAGCTCTAAGATTTATAAACCCCACAGACAGGATGGATGAGTTAAACATGTCACGGATTTCACGGGGCGGGCGGCTGAGTTAAACATGTCAGGGAGATTATAGGCGCATATTTATACATACTTGTAATATAACAGTCAGGCAGATCATGGGCAAAGGTGTACTCATGCTTGCACCATAATTATAACCGAGATTAAGAAAAAAATTCTGCACACCTGGGGACACGGCAAGGAAGTGTTACAACATATACGGACGCTGCTCTAAAAAATCGGCTGTGTGCCCCCAGCGCACACAAAACTGCAGGCATCGAGTTCACAGACAAGGCGGGAAAAGGCAGCTTGAGGTGTGAATGTGACAGCAGACGAATTCGGCAGCAAAACAAAGCTTATTGGCGGCTATTTCTAGAGTTCAAATATGTCTGGCCACAAGAATAGTCGGCTAAACATGGCCGCGCTGCTATCGCCAGACAAGGTGTCGTGAGGGCACGCACGTCTCGCTCATTGTTTTCTCGGACAAATCGCTGATGAAGCAGAATGGAGATCTGAACTGTCGACAAACATCGCCCGGACAAGGCTGTGTTCACCAGGTGCTCTCGTGAGTGGTCACTGGGGCATTATACACAATCGTTACAGAGGTACAATCAAGCAAAGCAGCTGAGTGGTTGTGATGATGACGCTGACACCCTACCTGCTGCGCCACCGAGTGACAACCGATGCTGACACACATGAGATTCAAGCACTCTAAGCCAAAATCTTCTAACCAACTCAATGCCAGGCTAGGAGAATGCTCTACAAGGAAATCTCCCCAAAAAATGTTTATCCGATTCCAGAAAAGAGCATTCGCCATATCAGAGAGAGAGAGAGGGAGAGAGAGAGAGAGAGAGAGAGAGAGAGAGAGAGAGAGAGAGAGAGAGAGAGAGAGAGAAAGAGAGAGGGAGAGAGAGAGAGAGAGGTTTGCTGTATCATTCCTCTCACACTGACAAGGTTTGCTGTATCATTCCTCTCACACTGACAAGGTTTGCTGTATCATTCCTCTCACACTGACAAGGTTTGCTGTATCATTCCTCTCACACTGACAAGGTTTGCTGTATCATTCCTCTCACACTGACAAGGTTTGCTGTATCATTCCTCTCACACTGACAAGGTTTGTTGTATCATTCCTCTCACACTGACACGGTTTACTGTATCAATCCTCTCACACTGACAAGGTTTGTTGTATCATTCCTCTCACACTGACAAGGTTTGTTGTATCATTCCTCTCACACTGACAAGGTTTACTGTATCATTCCTCTCACACTGACAAGGTTTGCTGTATCATTCCTCTCACACTGACAAGGTTTGCTGTATCATTCCTCTCACACTGACAAGGTTTGCTGTATCATTCCTCTCACACTGACAAGGTTTGCTGTATCATTCCTCTCACACTGACAAGGTTTGCTGTATCATTCCTCTCACACTGACAAGGTTTGCTGTATCATTCCTCTCACACTGACAAGGTTTGCTGTATCATTCCTCTCACACTGACAAGGTTTGCTGTATCATTCCTCTCACACTTGATAAAGTTTGCTGTATCCTATTCTATTTTTTCCATTGGCTGTCTTGTTATTGCACTAACGTGCTCTTCGGAAGATTTTGCTTTTTTCGTTGTGTAACGGCAAAGCGCGCATTCTGGCTGAAAAAAATGTTGGAAATGCCGTTTGAGGGAAAGAAACATTGTCGGCGACAGTACTCTCCCTTGAGGAACACGTTGCTCTCACAATCTTCGTGTGGTTTTGTTCTTCTGTCCAGTTGAATCTATTTCCACAACGACTGATCCGTATGTTCATTTTCTCTTACAAGTGAATGATTAGAAGGTTTAAGCTCAAATCTTTCTACCATACTTACTGATTTGATGTCTCTCAATCTACCCACTCCAAGCGTATTATTCCTATTTTCAGCCACGATATATTTCCTGAGCTATATAATTCTTTGATTTGGAGTTGATGTGTGCTTTCTGAAACCCGTCTATTGTGGCGTTACGATGTTTTTCTTTTAGATACCATATTAATCTGCTGACAAAGTTACCGGACTTGTCGGCTGAGAGACTCAATGTTCTGCCTAAATGTCTCCTGTCGTTCCACGGACGGAACGTTTCCGGGGGGTGGGGGGTGTGTGTGTGGAGGGGGGTGGGGGGCGGGGGTTAAACGCCGCGATTGTTACCGATTGTGCCCCTGCTCACACCAACATGTACACAGATGCCCGTCTGTCGACCCACATTTGGTCGTGTGTTGTCGAAGCAAATGTTTCTATTGACCTCCTCACACATTCCTGTCCCGAATTGGAAGTTTATGCTGGGGGAGCCTAGGCCAAGAAAAACTTGCAGTCAGCAAATATCCCGAAATAAATCCAGAGATTTCTCTCACGTTTCGCTGAGGTCAGCCCTGTTAAATAAGCCGCCGATTGGCCTAATTCTGTGGTTCTGTGTTCCAGTTGCCAACAGGCAGCCCTTTCATCTGTCAAACAGCCCAGGCTTCCGCTCCTTTGACACGCTATAAATAGGTGATCAAATGGGTCAGGTTACGTTCGTTCATCACACAGACTTTCGTGCCAGGAATGTGGACTTAACGCTGCAGTCGTCCGTCACCGAACCTGTGGGTGGGGATATGGCCGGTGGATTGATGGTTTCTGCTGGAATACTAGTGACGTGATGAAGCTACGACACGGAGTCTTGCCACACATTGAGTATAGTGACGACACGGAGTCTTGCCACACATTGTGTATAGTGACGACACGGAGTCTTGCCACACATTGTGTATAGTGACGACACGGAGTCTTGCCACACATTGTGTATAGTGACGACACGGAGTCTTGCCACACATTGTGTATAGTGACGACACGGAGTCTTGCCACACATTGTGTGAAGTGACGACACGGAGTCTTGCCACACATTGTGTATAGTGACGACACGGAGTCTTGCCACACATTATGTGAAGTGACTACACGGAGTCTTGCCACACATTGTGTATAGTGACGACATGGAGTCTTGCCACACATTGTGTGAAGTGACGACACGGAGTCTTGCCACACATTGTGTATAGTGACGACACAGAGTTTTGCCACATACTGTGTGAAGTGACGACACAGTGTCATGCAATATATTTTGTGTGGAGTTAGTCCCGGTTCCAAAATGGCCAGCAAAGGTACAATCCATTATAAATGTAATCGACTACTGGTCGTTTCATGGCGGTCAACAACATGTCTCAAGCAAAACACACGCATACCTACACATACACACACATACACACGCAATCCTACACAACTTTCCACATGAGATCCACAGTTTCACACCAAACAGTCAACTGGGAATTAGCAAAAACCTAACTAGAAACTTCGCAGTTTTTAGAGCATCAGCAGGTCAATGATTTCGGCTGGTATTTATCTATGTGATGTGCACGCACCCCCACCCCCACCCCCCTCCCTCCCAGGCAATGCCAGGCAATAAACACAATGGTTCTTCCATCAAGAGACCAGAGTAATCATTATTATTAAAATGTTTCAATCTGGGAATGTTTCCCTAGCTGATGCCCATAAACACTAGGAAAGATGATCTGTGTATCGCTTTCAAACAGGCAAAATACATAGTAGATCTCTTAAGCGGGAAAGCCAGATTTCTTTAGTATATTGTAAACAAATGTACACAACAGTGGGCACTCAAGTGGCAGAGCCAGGTGCACATCTTGCGTTGCTGGGACTGAGACAGATTCTCTCAAGTGGCTGCAGCAATAAATACACTAATAGATCCAAGAAAACAGGCTACAACAGGGACAAGTGAGAAAACAGACAGAAGAGACAAAACAGACAACAAGTAGTAGAGGTTAGAAAAGAGACAGCAGCAGTCAGAAATGAGACAGAAAGAATAAACAGACAACGGAAACAAAACAGGCAATATAACTGCAAATGCATGAGGTGGAAAAGGGAGGGGGGTAGGGGGGGGGGGATGGAGTATGTTCGGTATGGGATATGACCAACAAAACAACAATAATAAACAAATAATAATAATTATGACACTCAAATACATTAGGGTTCAGAAACAAGATTGAAGTTCTAGCCCATGAATCTGGTATTATTTCAGTTAATATTTGTTATACACACAAAAACATATTTTTAAAATGTATGTTGATCACGTTTTCCCCATATTATTTCCTGACTCTACATCACCATCATCATCATCACAAACCACTTCTGGCGTAAACTGTCGTGGGGAGGAACAATGTGCTATCCAGTGCACGCTGGCTGCCATTGCTACTATCCTGCCGTTAAGTGTCTTTAATGTTGTTGATCTATATTTTTTTGCAGCCGTCTACATCTAATTACATTTATGTAGATATAGTTTCATGACTCACTTAGGGATATATTTTTTTTTTTTTTAAATCAGAACTTTTAATTCCCTTTATGTTATTGAATCAGTCAATGTAACATTAACACACACACACACAAAAATCGGCATTGAAACTTAAAAGAAAAAAAAAAAAGCAGAAACTGGAAAACTGTAAATAACAGAGTGATTATAGATAAAAGAATATATATTCAATAAAAATGCTACAAATAAAACAAACAACATAAAAAAGAAACAAAATTAATCAGAATTTGTTAAAACAGACCACCTGAATAATCACAACATATGTGAGAAAGACTTACCCTCAACAGCTTTGCCAAAAAACACAGACAGTCCCGACAACTTGACCGCCGACTTGAGCTCCTCGACTAAAACCTGACTGGCCTGGCTCCACTTGTTGCTCTCTCTTGACGTGAAAGTTCTCACATTCTCACAAGTTCGTAGAGTACTCTTCAGAAATCTGAATGTTTGAGGAGGGATAGAAGCAAACTGGCTCTCTAGCAAACACTGTCTGTTTTCAGACCAAAGAACATTGACAAATCTAAAAGTGTGAAGTCATGCACCAATTGCTGGTTTTATTTAGACCTCAGTGAGACAGTGTCAGGTAAAGGTGCTTCTTCAATTAGCGTGCATTCACTGCAGGTTCCTCCTCTTGTCTTTCAATTGTTAAATACAACAAGTCTCCTTCTGACAAAACAATTGATGTCATCAACACTTTCTGGGAAGCAGCAAATATTTCCTCCGACCTGGCAAAAACATCAACTTACGTATGTTGTGTTGTGGTTTACAGCTAGACTGTGACACTGGCACTATTCAATTTTAATAGTCTTAATTAGTTATTTTCTAACAATTAGGCATTTACTGACTTTAAAGAGAAAATGTATAACTGTGGAAATGCTTCCTTCGACAATGTACTTTGACTTTAGAACTAGGAACACAGCACCAATCCTAACTTTCTATTTACTGGACATGAAGAATATCTGACACAGATATTTACTTTACTGAAAAGTTAGTTTTAAAACTGATTTCTAAAGCAATCACAGGCAAACTGTCAGGCAGATGGGCAGATTGTTTGTGAGAGTATTACTGCCATCAGTACCAGTAGGTCAAGGACACTTATTCCCAACTAGTGTTTAATAGGGTATATGATGTTATCTCTGTATTTAATAGACCAATCAGCACCCAAGTTGGGTCCTATGTGTCCTAAATTTTATAGACACAGGGGCGGGTCATGTGTGTCCTATATTCGATAGACCAATCTACACACAGGGGCGGGTCATGTGTGTCCTATATTTGATAGACCAATCTGCACACAGGGGCGGGTCATGTGTGCTATATTTGATAGACCAATCTGCACACAGGGGCGGGTCATGTGTGTCCTATATTTGATAGACCAATCTGCACACAGGGGCGGGTCATGTGTGCCCTATATTTGATTGACTAATCAGCACACGGGGGCGGGTATGTATGTGTGCCCTATATTTAATAGACCAATCAGCACACAGGGGCGGGTCATGTGTGTCCTATATTTGATAAACCAATCAGCACAAAGGGGTGGGTCATGTGTGCCCTATATTTGATAAACCAATCAGCACACAGGGGCGGGTCATGTGTGCCCTATATTTGATAAACCAATCGGCACACAGGGGCGGGTCATGTGTGCCCTATATTTGATAAACCAATCAGCACACAGGGGCGGGTCATGTGTGCCCTATATATGATAAACCAATCAGCACACAGGGGCGGGTCATGTGTGCCCTATATATGATAAACCAATCAGCACATGAGGGCGGGTCATGTGTGCCCTATATATGATAAACCAATCAGCACATGAGGGCGGGTCATGTGTGCCCTATATATGATAAACCAATCAGCACATGAGGGCGGGTCATGTGTGCCCTATATATGATAAACCAATCAGCACATGAGGGCGGGTCATGTGTGCCCTATATATGATAAACCAATCAGCACACAGGGGGCGGGTCATGTGTGCCCTATATATGATAAACCAATCAGCACATGAGGGCGGGTCATGTGTGCCCTATATATGATAAACCAATCAGCACATGAGGGCGGGTCATGTGTGCCCTATATATGATAGACCAATCAGCACACAGGGGCGGGTCATGTGTGCCCTATATATGATAAACCAATCAGCACATGAGGGCGGGTCATGTGTGCCCTATATATGATAGACCAATCAGCACACAGGGGCGGGTCATGTGTGCCCTATATATGATAAACCAATCAGCACATGAGGGCGGGTCATGTGTGCCCTATATATGATAGACCAATCAGCACACAGGGGCGGGTCATGTGTGCCCTATATATGATAGACCAATCAGCACACAGGGGCGGGTCATGTGTTTAATATGATACCAACTGCATTTACTTTCCAGAACACTTCCTGCACACTAGGCTGACCTGGAAACACAAGCCACCTTGATTGAGATTCAAACACATGGCCACCAGACAAGTGTGCTAGCCACTCTGCCACAGAGGTTCCTGACATGTTAGCCACTCCATCACAACAGAGGCTTCAGACTGTGACATCTCTGATCACAACAGAGACTTCAGACTGTGTCATCTCTGATCACAACAGAGGCTTCAGACTGTGTCATCTCTGATCACAACAGAGGCTTCAGACTGTGACATCTCTGCCAAATACTGACTCAATGCTTGAAATGCTGTCTTGTTTTCCATACATGTTACATTAGATGGGAACATATTTCAGGCAGGTAGGTTAGCACAGATAGCTGTCATACAAACCTCTGAAGTGTCTTGAGTCCTCTAGTGTCCAGAGTCTGGTAGTCATCCAGGTGGGAGACTTGCCAGGCAGACAGCACAGCAACATAGTTGGCCAGCAAACTGGCACAAGGAAGGCTAGAGGAAACAACAAACATTAAGGATTGTACCAACATTTGGTCTGTCTCCTGTCTTCTACACTTGACTGTAGAAATGCCTTTTGGTCTTGTTCAGTTTGTCCTGATTCTGTCATGGGTGCACAGGCACTTCACAGTTTGTCTTCTTCTTTATCCTCTTCCTGTACACTGGCTGTAAACTGGTGGAAAGTTATGGCTGTTCGTCCACTTCCAGACTTTAGTCTTGTTGCAAATCCTGAGTGTTGCATGCACATCCATTTTACAGATCTCGCTTATTTGTACTGCAAACTGTTGGTTCCCTGCCTCTCAGACAAATGCACTCCAGCTTTGAAGGATGCTCCAATTAGTCAACTCCTACAACATGTTGGTTGGGTAGGCAGTGGGTCTACTCCTGTTTTGCCCACAATAAGGCCCCGAAACCCACACGGGGAACAGTCTGGTCTAGTCTTTCCTCTCCTGGAGTGGGCAGATACCCTATAACCTTGCACAGTTTTCCCTATAACCTTGCACAGTTTTCCCTATAACCATGCACAGTTGACCCTATAACCCTGCACAGTTTTTCCCTATAACCTTGCACAGTTTTCCCTATAACCTTGCACAGTTTTCCCTATAACCATGCACAGTTGACCCTATAACCCTGCACAGTTTTTCCCTATAACCTTGCACAGTTTTCCCTATAACCTTGCACAGTTTTCCCTATAACCATGCACAGTTGACCCTATAACCCTGCACAGTTTTCCCTATAACCTTGCACAGTTGACCCTATAACCTTGCACAGTTTTCCCTATAACCTTGCACAGTTTTCCCTATAACCATGCACAGTTGACCCTATAACCCTGCACAGTTTTTCCCTATAACCTTGCACAGTTTTCCCTATAACCTTGCACAGTTTTCCCTATAACCTTGCACAGTTGACCCTATAATCTTGCACAGTTTTCCCTATAACCTTGCACAGTTTTCCCTATAACCTTGCACAGTTTTCCCTATAACCTTGCACAGTTTTCCCTATAACCTTGCACAGTTGACCCTATAACCTTGCACAGTTGACCCTATAACCCTGCACAGTTTTTCCCTATAACCCTGCACAGTTGACCCTATAATCTTGCACAGTTGACCCTATAACCTTGCACAGTTGACCCTATAATCTTGCACAGTTTTCCCTATAACCTTGCACAGTTTTCCCTATAACCCTGCACAGTTTTTCCCTATAACCCTGCACAGTTGACCCTATAATCTTGCACAGTTGACCCTATAACCTTGCACAGTTGACCCTATAATCTTGCACAGTTTTCCCTATAACCTTGCACAGTTTTCCCTATAACCTTGCACAGTTTTCCCTATAACCTTGCACAGTTTTCCCTATAACCTTGCACAGTTGACCCTATAACCTTGCACAGTTGACCCTATAACCCTGCACAGTTTTTCCCTATAACCTTGCACAGTTGACCCTATAACCTTGCACAGTTGTTCCTATAACCTTGCACAGTTGACCCTATAACCTTGCACAGTTGACCCTATAATCTTGCACAGTTTTCCCTATAACCTTGCACAGTTTTCCCTATAACCATGCACAGTTTTTCCCTATAACCTTGCAAAGTTTTCCCTATAACCTTGCACAGTTTTCCCTATAACCTTGCACAGTTTTGCCTATAAACTTGCGCAGTTTTGCCTATAAGCTTGCACAGTTTTGCCTATAAACTTGCACAGTTTTCCCTATAAACTTGCAGTTTTCCCTATAAACTTGCACAGTTTTCCCTATAACCTTACACAGTTTTCCCTATAACCTTGCACAGTTTTCCCTATAACCTTGCAGGTTTTCCCCCTTCTACCCCAGAGACAAAGCATTAAGTAGTGATTCTATTTCTGTCCTGGAGTTACAGAGGCTCCATTAACTGCACTTGTCTCTCCCCCAGAGGCAAGTCACAGCTGCCAACAAGCTTCCGCCACTGCAACATTATTCTTCTGCTAACGAGGAAACTTTTCATCTTAGAAAGGGAAGGTGGATCACAATCACACAACGAATGAATTCAAATTGCTCACTTGTCTGCACGTCAGCATCAACCAGCCACCTGTCAAGGTGATGTGTTTACATTGAGACAGATCATCAACTGGACCCAGGACATGGAAGAAGAATGGATCAGAGAGTAGAGGAATGAGACAGGTCATCATCTGGACCTGGGACATGGAAGAAGAATGGATCAGACAGTAGAAGAATGAGACAGGTCATCACCTGGACCTGGGACATGGAGGAAGAATGGATGAGAGAGTAGAGGGATGAGATGGGTCATCACCTGGACCTGTGACATGGAAGAAGAATGGATATGGGAGTAGAGGAATGAGACAGGTCATCATCTGGACCTGGGACATGGAAGAAGAATGGATCAGAGAGTAGAAGAATGAGACAGGTCATCACCTGGACCCGGGACATGGAAGAAGAATGGATCAGAGAGTAGAGGGATGAGACAGGTCATCACCTGGACCCGGGACATGGAAGAAGAATGGATCAGAGAGTAGAGGGATGAGATGGGTCATCACCTGGACCCGGGACATGGAAGAAGAATGGATCAGAGAGTAGAAGAATGAGACAGGTCATCATCTGGACCCAGGACATGGAAGAAGAATGGATCAGAGAGTAGAGGAATGAGACAGGTCATCATCTGGACCTGGGACATGGAAGAAGAATGGATCAGAGAGTAGAAGAATGAGACAGGTCATCACCTGGACCCGGGACATGGAAGAAGAATGGATCAGAGAGTAGAAGAATGAGACAGGTCATCATCTGGACCCAGGACATGGAAGAAGAATGGATCAGAGAGTAGAGGAATGAGACAGGTCATCACCTGGACATGGGACATGGAAGAAGAATGGATCAGAGAGTAGAGGGATGAGATGGGTCATCACCTGGACCCGGGACATGGAAGAAGAATGGATCAGAGAGTAGAAGAATGAGACAGGTCATCATCTGGACCTGGGACATGGAAGAAGAATGGATCAGAGAGTAGAAGAATGAGACAGGTCATCACCTGGACCCGGGACATGGAAGAAGAATGGATCAGAGAGTAGAGGGATGAGATGGGTCATCACCTGGACCCGGGACATGGAAGAAGAATGGATCAGAGAGTAGAGGAATGAGACAGGTCATCATCTGGACCTGGGACATGGAAGAAGAATGGATCAGAGAGTAGAAGAATGAGACAGGTCATCACCTGGACCCGGGACATGGAAGAAGAATGGATCAGAGAGTAGAGGGATGAGACAGGTCATCACCTGGACCCGGGACATGGAAGAAGAATGGATCAGAGAGTAGAGGGATGAGATGGGTCATCACCTGGACCCGGGACATGGAAGAAGAATGGATCAGAGAGTAGAAGAATGAGACAGGTCATCATCTGGACCCAGGACATGGAAGAAGAATGGATCAGAGAGTAGAGGAATGAGACAGGTCATCATCTGGACCTGGGACATGGAAGAAGAATGGATCAGAGAGTAGAAGAATGAGACAGGTCATCACCTGGACCTGGGACATGGAAGAAGAATGGATCAGAGAGTAGAGGAATGAGACAGGTCATCATCTGGACCCGGGACATGGAAGAAGAATGGATCAGAGAGTAGAAGAATGAGACAGGTCATCATCTGGACCCAGGACATGGAAGAAGAATGGATCAGAGAGTAGAGGAATGAGACAGGTCATCACCTGGACATGGGACATGGAAGAAGAATGGATCAGAGAGTAGAGGGATGAGATGGGTCATCACCTGGACCCGGGACATGGAAGAAGAATGAGACAGATCATACACAGACACACCCATACAACCACGTGCACACAAACAGTTTTGTGTGTGTGAGAATGAAAACAGTGAGATGCACAACAGGGCAATGTAACACTTCCTAGAATACCAAGTTGGGTTTTTCTGGCAAGATACTTTTGTGAGAAACCTGGCAGAAAATGAAGCTACATTATATGTTGAAATCACTGACAGCCAGCAGACTTTGTGAAAGTGGCTAAATATAGTTTAGCAACTGAAATATACAGATACCAATGTGCTTGACAGAGAGCTGGTTGTAGCGACACCTGCCATATTACTCAACAACCAATTGTAGCGACACCTGCCACATTACTCAACAACCAATTGTAGCGAAACCTGCCACATTACTCAACAACCAATTGTAGCAACACCTGCCACATTACTCAACAACCAATTGTAGCAAAACCTGCCACATTACTCAACAACCAATTGTAGCGACACCTGCCACATTACTCAACAACCAATTGTAGCGACACCTGCCACATTACTCAACAACCAATTGTAGCGACACCTGCCACATTACTCAACCAATCTCAACACGGCTACCCAGAGTCTCTTAGCTCAACTCACAAAGCTCTCTCACAGGAAGAAGCAGTAATAAACAAAAATTGCAATTTTTCACTCCACCAATAAAGTTAATGTTATGGTAGGGCAGAGCAGCCCCTTTGGCCACAGTTGGCAGCTGGTCTAGGCAGGAAGCTGCATCAGGAAGGCAGAAAAAGCACTGCTGTTCTGAACTGGCAGCTTCTGTAATATGTTTTATTCCACACACACACACTGGTGTTACTTTTCCTTTTGAGTAAACAAGGCAGGCAGAGATAGGGATCATGCAAAACATGGTCATCACAATACTGCCCAGGCTTTGGTCTATGGAGATGTTTCTATAGCACATCCTCTGCAAGACGGATAGGTGCCAACAACAGCAGCATTATTAACAAATTAAGTATATAACTTTGTAGTTATCTTAAGTAATATGTCAAAACAGAGAACCAAGATATGAATATAACTGACATGAGTACTCACAAGGCCAGCAACCTGGTCAAATTGTCCCTTTGCCGGGATCGGAGTTGTTTTTTCTGTAACTGTTCCTGCCTCAATTGTAGAGCCAACCTGGTCTGTGTGAGGACTGTTTCAGTTTCTGCAATCATTCTTGACAAGATGCCGACAATTTCACTCTCAGTGACCTTGACATTTTCAGAACTGACGAGACGTCTGATGTCCAAATGCAGCGTCTGCTGGACGCCATCATCTAGTTTCTTCACTGTATACACATCTTTCTGAAATATTCAATATGGCAGCTTTCTCAAGCACGTTAACCTAAATTACACACTTCAAGTAGTCAAAAAGTTTACATAAACAGTATGTAGATCATTTGTAGAAAGGAAGGACCCCCCAAAACAGTTTACGTATACTGTATGTATATCATATGCAGACAGGAAGGACATGCCAACAGAACTAATATAAGCAGGGGGAAGCCAGTATCTTTATCATGACTATGTGTGTCAATAATTATGAAAGCTGTTGGTATTTGCTTACAGATGAAGCTGGATCAGCCTGCAGTATGTTGGTCTGATATACAGAATCTATTACCGTGACAGACTGAGCCTGGACAAAAACTAAGCAAGCAATTACACTAACTACTACGCCACCACAGTTCTAACATCCTTAAGTAATTGAATTTTAAAAAATCACCCTGGTAAACAGTAACATAAAAACACTAATTACCTGCCACCGGTACAAAGTCTTTAGCTTGTGCGGCAGCATGCGTGTGACATCTTCATAGACACAGGAAAATGGTGTCGACAACCTAAAAATAGTTGCATAAAAACACACGATGTTGCAGCACAAGTGTCGGTCTCAATGTTCTACTTTTAGTCTAAATTCCTGTCCACATTAAAGGTTTTCAAATATCTGTCCTCATAAAGATATCAGGGTAAATATTTTCACATTTTGCCATTCCTGCATATATCTTTCAAATATATGGCTGAGCTAAAACACATTCTCAAATGATCTGATTTATAACACGTATCAAATGTTATATTTGATCTGATTTATAAAACTTATCAAATGTTATATTTGATCTGATTTAAAACACTTATCAAATGTTATATTTCTTGTTTGATATATGTTTATTTTAAATATTATTGTTTCTACATCTAAACAATATTTAGGACAACTTCTTAGACAAATAAAAAAAGTCAAGACGTCCCAAAACATAAAGAGAAGCAAAGACAGACCTCAAGGGAATAAAACGAGCACAGATCTATCAAAACAAACATGCACAAAACTAATAGGTGTGACAAGACAGACGTGCATAGATCTATCAATACAGACATGCACAAAACTAACAAGAGTGTGATAAGACAGACAAGCGCATAGATCTATCAATACAGACATGCACAAAACTAACAAGAGTGTGATAAGACAGACAAGCGCATAGATCTATCAATACAGACATGCACAAAACTAACAAGAGTGTGACAAGACAGACAAGCGCACAGATCTATCAAAACAAACATGCACAAAACTAATAGGTGTGACAAGACAGACGTGCATAGATCTATCAATACAGACATGCACAAAAACTAACAAGAGTGTGATAAGACAGACAACTACGGAATGAAATCATCTTTAGGCTTTAGGACCTGCTCAGGGGCTAAAATATTAATGATGATGATGATGATGACACATCTGAAAGAACTTAATACTAAAGATATAACAAATACACATTAAGCAAGGCCATCATAATAAGGTATACTGAATGCAGAGATTATTATTTCAACAGATTGTAAGTTTTCTAACAGAACCAGACATTCACTAGAGTCTTCAGCTATCACAGTCAGGGTCCAGAGTTCACTAACACAACCAGACATCCACTAGTATCTTCAGCTATCACAGTCAGGGTCCAGAGTTCACTAACAGAACCAGACACTCATAAAGGTTTTTAATAAGCCTGGTCGAAGTAAACTACCAGCAGGCTGTCCAGGGTGAGAATGTTACATTTTAATTATTGTTGGCTTCACAAATACACAATAATCAAAGTGGTTCATATCTTGTGAGACTGAGCACCAATCAGTAACTTCTGTGTACCTGCAATCAAAGAGGTTCAGATCTTGTAAGACTGAGCACCAGCCAGTAACTGCTGTGTGCCTGCAATTAAAGAGCTCTGGCTATGAAACTAGAGGATGACCAAAAATCAAGGAGACAGATTCTACCAGGGGCATACAACTCAGTTCAATTCCAGCTTCATGCCTGATGCAAGCCACAAACCATTGACCACATGCGGAAGACAACAGAGTAGATAAAGTAATCACTGTGTGGGTAAGTGACCACATGGGGAAGACAACAGAGTAGATAAAGTAACCACTGTGTGGGTTAGTGACCCATTTTGGGGGAAGAACAGAGTAGATAAAGTAATCACTGTGTGGGTTAGTGACCCATTTTTGGGGAAGAACAGATTAGATAAAGTAATCACTGTGTGGGTTAGTGACCCATTTTTGGGGAAAAACAGAGTAGATAAAGTAATCACTGTGTGGGTTAGTGACCCATTTTTGGGGAAGAACAGAGTAGATAAAGTAATCACTGTGTGGGTTAGTGACCCATTTTGGGGGAAGAACCGAGTAGATAAAGTAATCACTGTGGGTTAGTGACCCATTTTTGGGGAAGAACAGATTAGATAAAGTAATCACTGTGTGGGTTAGTGACCACATGGGGAAGACAACAGAGTAGATAAAGTAACCACTGTGTGGGTTAGTGACCCATTTTTGGGGAAGAACAGAGTAGATAAAGTAATCACTGTGTGGGTTAGTGACCCATTTTGGGGGAAGAACATAGTAGATAAAGTAATCACTGTGTGGGTTAGTGACCCATTTTGGGGGAAGAACAGAGTAGATAAAGTAATCACTGTGTGGGTTAGTGACCCATTTTTGGGGAAGAACAGAGTAGATAAAGTAATCACTGTGTGGGTTATTGACCCATTTTGGGGGAAGAACAGAGTAGATAAAGTAATCACTGTGTGGGTTAGTGACACATTTTGGGGGAAGAACAGAGTAAATAAAGTAATCACTGTGTGGGTTAGTGACCCATTTTTGGGGAAGAACAGAGTAGATAAAGTAATCACTGTGTGGGTTAGTGACCCATTTTTGGGGAAGAACAGAGTAGATAAAGTAATCACTGTGTGGGTTAGTGACCCATTTTAGGGGAAGAACAGAGTAGATAAAGTAATCACTGTGTGGGTTAGTGACCCATTTTGGGGGAAGAACAGAGTAAAGTAATCACTGTGTGGGTTAGGTGACCCCATTTAGAGGGAAGATAATATACCATCGCTGCCCTCTAATATGCATGCCACAAAAGGTAACTACTGGTTTGATGACATCAGATATTGGGCAGAAAGCTGCAGATATTGCAACCTACCTGTAAGCCAGAAGCTGATATACCAACCACCCTTTTAAGGATAAACACGAGATAAGAAAGAGGATGTAGAAGTAGATTAGAACGTGGACAGTAGTGAAGGATGTGACTTCAGACAATCAGGCAAGATGTCAGAACATTCCTGGTTTTATATTTGTTGAATATTTAGCATACAATGACTAATGTGCCAACAGCAATACGGCCAATAGATTAGACAGTAACAACAACAACAACAAAACTGTATAATCATTTGATCACACATCTAGCCAGCAACAGCAAACATCCAGCCAGCAACACCAAACATCCAGCCAGCAACACCAAACATCCAGCCAGCAACACCAAACATCCAGCCAGCAACACCAAACATCCAGCCAGCAACACCAAACATCCAACCAGCAACACCAAACATCCAACCAGCAACATCAAACATCCAGCCAATAACACCAAACATCCTGCCAGCAACACCAAACATCTAACCAGCAACACCAAACATCCAGCCAGCAACAGCAAACATCCAGCCAATAGCACCAAACATCCAGCCAATAACAGCAAACATCCAGCCAATAACAGCAAACATCCAGCCAGCAACACTAAACATCCAGCCAGCAACAGCAAACATCCAGCCAATAACAGCAAGCATGCACAAACCTGGGTCTCATCTGCTGCCATTCACTCAAGGTCACTGCCCCCATGCTGGCTGCTATACTCTCTAACCACTGAGTTAAAGACTGCTGAATGTCCATGAACACTTCATTCTTGTTGAAGAAAACCTCAACACCATCTCCCAGATTCCTGGAAACAAGGGAGACACAATTATTTGTTGAACATAAGACAGGAATCACCATCTGTTGAACATAAGACAGGAATCACCATAACTGTTGAACATAAGACAGGAATCATGATCTGTTGAACATAGGACAGGAATCACCATCTGTTGAACATAAGACAGGAATCACCATCTGTTGAACATAAGACAGGAAATACAATTGAACATAAGACAGGAATCACCATCTGTTGAACATAAGACAGGAATCACCATCTGTTGAACATAAGACAGGAAATACAATTGAACATAAGACAGGAATCACCATCTGTTGAACATAAGACAGGAATCACCATCTGTTGAACATAAGACAGGAATCACCATCTGTTGAACATAAGACAGGAATCACCATCTGTTGAACATAAGACAGGAATCACCATCTGTTGAACATAAGACAGGAATCACCATCTGTTGAACATAGGACAGGAATCACCATCTGTTGAACATAAGACATGAATCATGATCTGTTGAACATAGGACAGGAATCACCATCTGTTGAACATAAGACAGGAATCATGATTTGTTGAACATACGACAGGAATCACCATCTGTTTAACATAAGACAGGAATCACCATCTGTTGAACATAAGACAGGAATCACCATCTGTTGAACATAAGACATGAATCACCATCTGTTGAACATAAGACAGGAAATACAATTGAACATAAGACAGGAATCATCATCTGTTGAACATAGGACAGGAAACACAATTGAACATAAGACAGGAATCACCATCTGTTGAACATAAGACAGGAAATACAATTGAACATAAGACATGAATCACCATCTGTTGAACATAAGACAGCAATCACCATCTGTTGAACATAAGACAGCAATCACCATCTGTTGAGCATAAGGTGGAAAACATTGTTTCTTGGAGATAGAAGATTTAACAATAACATGGTACAATACAGATGTGTATTGCTGATTGAAAGTTACTGACATTTCGCTCCTCAAATTTTAGCAGAACATGAGTAAACAGGCAGACATATGTCTGTCTACAGGTGTGTAAAATAGAGCATTGGTAGTTAGCCAGACATGAGTCTGTTTACAGGTGTGTAAAAGAGAGCATTGGTAGATAGCCAGACATGAGTCTGTTTACAGGTGTGTAAAATAGAACATTGGTAGATAGCCAGACATGAGTCTGTTTACAGGTGTGTAAAAGAGAACATTGGTAGACAGCCAGACATGAGTCTGTCTACAAGTGTGTAAAAGAGAACTTAGGTAGATAGCCAGACATGAGTCTGTCTACAGGTGTATGGAAAAGAACACAGGTAGATAGCCAGACGTGAGTCTGTCTACAGGTGTATAGAAAAGAACATAGGTAGATAGCCAGACATGAGTCTGTTTACAGGTGTGTAAAAGAGAACATTGGTAGACAGCCAGACATGAGTCTGTCTACAAGTATGTAAAAGAGAACTTAGGTAGATAGCCAGACATGAGTCTGTCTACAGGTGTATGGAAGAGAACACAGGTAGATAGCCAGACGTGAGTCTGTCTACAGGTGTATAGAAAAGAACTTAGGTAGATAGCCAGACATGAGTCTGTCTACAGGTGTGTAAAAGAGAACATATGTAGATAGCCAGACATGAGTCTGTCTACAGGTGTGTAAAAGAGAACATAGGTAGATAGCCAGACATGAGTCTGTGTATGAACATTAGTCAAATTAGAAAATATTGCCATTCTTGTAATTTTATACCAATTGTCACATGATGGATGATACCATGTGACCAATGTCAACTGCCTTTGTTTCCTGACCTAGCTTTAGACTGGGTTTACTGACAAGAGTCTCATAATGGATGCAAACACATGGCAGCTGCTGCCTGCTGCAACCCTGTGACTGACTAATTATTTCCATCAATGACTAAATGCAATTCTGGTGGCGACTGTTGGTACTGCATGTCTATCAGCTGCTTTATGCATGTAATGTGTGTGCAAGTTTCTGGATGTTGCGTGGACTAAATGTCTCTCTGCTACTTTTCGGACTAGTCACTGAAGGTCTTTTCATGTGATTTTCAATAGTGGGGAACAGAGCAATTATGGGCTGACCTGTTTGTAGTCAAGTTGAAACTTCAACTCCCCTGTGTGGGTTCCGGGGCCCTATTGTGGGAAAAACAAGAATAGACCCACTGCCTCCCCAAAAGCATGTCATAAGAGTCGACTAACTGGGGAGCTTCCTTTGAAGTCGGAGTGCATCTGCCTGAGAGGCAAGGAACCAGCAGTCTGCATTAAATTGAATCAGATCTGTAAAACTGATGCACACGCAACACTCAGGTTCTGGAGCAGGACTGCAGTCCAAAAGTCGACAAACAACCAGAACTTTACGCCAGAGTGTACAGCTGGTGAACGCGAAGAAGAAGAAGAAGAAACTTAAACAACTGCAAGTGACCACAGGAGCCAACAAGAAATCAGACTAGCCAGCGCCCCACAGCAGCAAACACGAGTTCTAGAAATTACAGTATCAACACCAGAAAATATACACTAAAATATTTTAAAACTAATGTTACAATGCAAAAGAAAAGTAAGAATAAATTCAATAAATCATTCCCTATTATTCTGTTTTTAAGTAGCTACAAATTTTGTAAGGAACAACATAAATACAACAAATTAAAATTAAAAAAAAATAATTTATATATATATATATATCAAACAGAACATTCAACTATTATTTTAAAAAAAGACAAACTTGTTCTCCTGTGTTGACGGGCTGTAGGCTCCGACAGAAAGTGCTGGTTGATGTGCATTTGTACTTTGGTTTTGTGCCAGGTTCTGAGTTTTGTGTGTACATCTGTTTTACTGGCTTATTTCTGTGCAGCTGGTTGTTCCTTGCTGGCAGGGCAGATGCACGGACTTTAAAGGAAACCCCCCAAGTAGTGGACTCTTAGGACATGCTTGTTGGGGCAGCAGTGGGTCGTTTCATGTTTCCCCACTACAAGACCCAAGAACCCACACGAGAAATAAAGATTAACAATACTTCTTCCTTTGGTCCCCCTAAAAAAAGCAGCTGGCGTGTTATGTTGTGGTTTACAGCTGCAAAACATTCTATTTCAGCAAGTACTGATAATTAGTCGCCTTTGATGAAATGCTTGTTTCAGGACTGTGGGTCCTGGAACACACATTGGGATCCTTAAACAGGAACAGACACACATACACACAACAACTGTCCAGTGACTCACTTGCATTCACAGGTGTAGTAGCTGAACAGTTTTAGTTTGATATTCTCAACTGGCATGCATTTGTCTAGGTCTGAGTGTTTTTTCTACAGGAGTAAACAGCTGACTTTGTTTCACAGTCTGTGTGTGTGTGTGTGTGTTTTTGCTACAGGAGTAAACAGCTGACTTTGTTTCACAGTCTGTGTGAGTGTTTTTGCTACAGGAGTGTGTGTGTGTCTGTGTGTGTGTGTGAGTGTTTTTGCTGCTACAGGTGTGTGACTTTGTTTCACAGTGTGTGTGTGTGTGTGAGTGTGTGCTACAGGAGTGCTGACTTTGTTTCACTGTGTGTGTGTGAGTGTTTTTGCTACAGGAGTAAACAGCTGACTTTGTTTCACAGTCTGTGTGAGTGTTTTTGCTACAGGAGTAAACAGCTGACTTCTGGCACAGTATGCATTTGTCTAGGTGTGAGTGTTGTTTTTGCTACAGGCGTAAACAGCTGACTTTGGCGTGCAGTTGTGTGTGTGTAGGTCTGAGTGTTTTTGCTACAGGAGTAAACAGCTGACTTCTGGCGTGCATTTGTCTAGGTCTGAGTGTTTTTGCTACAGGAGTAAACAGCTGACTTCTGGCGTGCATTTGTCTAGGTCTGAGTGTTTTTGCTACAGGAGTAAACAGCTGACTTCTGGCGTGCATTTGTCTAGGTCTGAGTGTTTTTGCTAGTGTCAGTCTGTCTGCAGCCTGACTTTGTTTGCACATGTCTTTGTGTGTGTGTGTGTGTGTGTTTTTGCTACAGGAGTAAACAGCTGACTTTGTTTCACAGTCTTTGTGTGTGTGTGTGTGCGTGCGTGTGCATCTGTGTGGTGTGTGTGTGTGTGTGGTGTGTGTTTTTACTACAGGAGTAAACAGCTGACTTTTTTTTCACTGTGTGTGTGTGTGTGTTTTTACTACAGGAGTAAACAGCTGACTTTGTTTCACTGTGTGTGTGTGTTTTTACTACAGGAGTAAACAGCTGACTTTGTTTCACTGTGTGTGTGTGCGCGTATGCATGTTTGTGTGAGTGTATTTACTACAGAAGTAAACAACTGACTTTGTGTGTGTGTGTGTGTGTGCATGTGTGTGTGAGTGTATGTATTTACTACAGAAGTAAACAGCTGACTTTGTGTGTGTGTGTGTGCGTGTGAGTGTGTGTGTGAGAGTGTATTTACTACAGAAGTGAACAGCTGAGTTTGTGTGTGTGTGTGTGCGTGTGTGTGTGCATGTGTGTGCGTGTGTGAGTGTATTTACTACAGAAGTAAACAGCTGAGTTTGTGTGTGTGTGTGTGCGCATGTGTGTGTGTGTGTTTGTGTGTGCGTTTGTGTGAGTGCATTTACTATAGAAGTAAACAGCTGGCTTTGTGTGTGTGTGTGCATGTGTGTGTGTGTGAGTGAATTTACTACAGAAGTAAACAGCTGAATTTGTTTCACTGTGTGTGTGTGTGCGTGCATCCGTTCGTCCGTGCATGCGTGTGTGTGTGTGTGTGTGTTTGTGTGTGAGTGTATTTACTACAGAAGTAAACAGCTGACTTTGTTTCACAGTCTGTGTGTGTGTGAGTGTGTGCCCGCGCGCACATGAATGTGTGTGTGAGAGAGATATAGAGATCAACAGACAGGCACATAAATGGCAACAGCAACAGAGAGACAGACAACAGAAAGATAAAAGCAAGAAAGACAAGCTTATGTACAATAACATTTCAAAGGAGGGTTGCAAGATAAAGCTACCTACCAATTTTCCAAACCTGGCGATGTATGTAGGTCAGCAGGAAGTGTTGCAGCTACTGAGCACAAGTTCTGAATCTAGGTGAGACATAAAAACCCATATATTCTTCAAGCTGATATAGTTACCTACTGAAGCTATATTGCTGTTTCTTTGTTTTGCTCCTCTCCAACTTTTAACTTTTCTCACAAACTTGCACATTACATGTACATTAGATATTACAACTTTCATTAAAGTCTAACAGGGTCATCTTTATATTTAAAAAAAAAAAAATTATCTAGATTAAACAATGACAAATATTCTCACCAAAATCTATTTTCAAACAAACAAACATTTGATTAAATAATTCATCTAACAAATCATTATAATATCATCATGTAGCAGGTCCTTTGCAGAACGTCGCTCTCATCACGGTCTGCCTGAAAAGAAACTCAGGTCTCTTGCCAGCTCTCTTGCCTCATGCACTTCCATACTCAAGTGGTCACTTATATCCTGTGCCCATCTTCGTGTCGGTCGGGCCCTGCCCCTCCTTCCTAGTACCATGCCTTCTGCTATAATTGTTTCCAATCCGTAATGGCACTTTATATGACCAAAATATTTCAGCTGCCGAGACAGAATGCTGTTTATTAGCCAATCTTCCTTGAAGTTCAGATCTTTTAAGATGTCAGGAACAATGAAAGACAATGCAGACAGAAAGAGAGTTTGAAAAAGAAGTGCTTGAGTCTATGTATGACTTTTTTAGCCTTTGATGAAAATAAAACCTACTCTCTGATGTAGCAGTGATACAGGATGGAACACAGACCTGTAGCCGGACAATCCATGTAACATTTCTGCAACCGGTGTCTGCAAGACAAAAAAGTAACAATATCATCATCAAGCGTCTATCAGACAGTAACATCATCATCCTTATTGTGAGTCTGAAACAACACTGCAACAAAACAACATTGAAAGCACTGTGTCAGACAGTAACATCATCATCCTTATTGTGAGTCTGAAACAACACTGCAACAAAACAACATTGAAAGCACTGTGTCAGACAGTAACATCATCATCCTTATTGTGAGTCTGAACAAAACATTGAAAGCACTGTGTCAGACAGTAAACATCATCATCCTTATTAGTCTGAAACATCACTGCAACAAAACAACATTGAAAGCACAGTGTCAGACAGTAACATCATCATCCTTATTGTGAGTCTGAAACATCACTGCAACAAAACAACATTGAAAGCACTGTGTCAGACAGTAACATCATCATCCTTATTGTGAGTCTGAAACAACACTGCAACAAAACAACATTGAAAGCACTGTGTCAGGCAGACAGCTCAATGATACAAACATGAATTAAATGAGACAACATACTCCAGTCATGAAACACACAGCAAATATTTACTCTTGATCTCTCACTGACTGTGACTGCTTTCCTGTGTGGTTTGGGTGTTAGTACAGAATTGCTGTCCTTGCACACACATATCTCCATCAGTGTTCCAGTGCGGGTTGACCCCATGTGGGGGGAAGGGGGGGGGGGGGGGAGTGTGTAAGAAAGAATACACCCACTGCTCCCCTAACAAACATGTCATAACATTCAACTAATGAGGGGTGTTTCCTTTAACATCAGAGTGCATTTGCCTTACAGGAAGGAACCAATAGCCTGCATGCAAGTAAGCCAGATCTGTGAGACAGATGTGCACAAAACACTCCAGTTCTAGAACAAGACACAAGTACACAACTGGACAAACAACTAGAACTTTCTGTTTACAGCTGATGAACGCTAAAATGAAGAATAATGCCCAAATCTCCTCCATTAGATCACACAAGCAGAACTCCGTAGCACCAGTGTGGATCTCAGCATGTGTGCATCACAAATACAAATTCTCTTTAGTGGGTAAAAGGACCCTGTTGCACACCCCCAGGTGTACTGGGTGTGCAGGGTCAGACTGACATTTTATAGACAAATCAACATTCGGTGGGCGCCATTAGTTCTGCCTTTAGCTGGGACACATTTGAGGCTAGCCTGACCTAGGAGCCAAGTTCACTTTTGAAGAAGAAAAAATTGTCTTTAGGCGGATTTGAACTCACTACCTTTGGACCGGCAGCTGAATGTCCAGCCACTACATTATGGTGGCTTCTCTATTTTTCGTAACTTTTCTCTCAAGCTTTAACCTGGCCAGTTGACTGTTTGGCTCTTGTTTAATGTTAAACATCTGACAGATTAACATCCACTATGACAAGATCAGGGTGGGGTTTACAATGCTTTTCTTATTTGTAAAAGCTGACACTGTACATATCAGGTAGATATCGTGACCTCACACCTAGTATGAACCCAATGTGCCAGAAGCTGACTTGTTAAGTTGAGATGAACAGACATTTCCACGCATGAACTCACCTCAAAGTCATCATCATCATCATGTGCTATCCTGGCAAGTCTAGCAAAAATAACCAACAAAATTACAGGCAAGGATCCCGGAACTGTGTGGCAGTCGGCCTCTCCATGACCCAGTTTATCTCTGACCCGGGGTCCACCTGGGTATATCAGCAAATCATGCAGAAGATCCTGCAAAATGAAGACAATTTCTTTAAGTGGATGCAAGATTTTATATTGATTTTTTATATTGATGATGATGACAACGACAGTGTGACAATTATAATGACTGATTTTTAAAAAAATGACACCAAAATACCTGTCATTAAGGTGCTGAGAATGGGGCTGACAACAGCCAAGTTGGCATCAAGAGATGAATTCACACAACACAAACTGATCTGCAATTCACCGAGGTAAAAGGAAAATGACATGCACAAATACAAACCAACATGTCAACCGGTCTTTATCAACCAATAAAACAACAGGAATCCTAAATTAAAAATACAAATAGGAGTGTCACAAAGGAAAAGGAATAAAATAAGATGCTATTTCCTTACAGTAAGTTTTGCTAGTCACATTTTTGAAAGCTGTGATCTTCCTGCCCCGTTTGTTCCACAATTTAACACAGGTGACTGCCAAGACAAAAAGGTCCAGTATGGTGGATAGGTGGGCAGTCCGTTAAGTCTTGATGTGTTTCTCCCATGGTTTTACTTCATAATTTCCACATGTGGACTTGAATCCTCGGTATAAAAAGACTAACCAAATCACACAAAAACCAGATCACCCATCATAGAGGATAAGACTATGAAAATGTGATCCGAAATCTGCCATTTTTCCTTCTTCTGTCGCAGATAGATCATGGCCGCTCCATTCAAAGTTGGCACCAAAGAGGAATAACCAGCAGTGAAGATTCCTCTGGTCAGATTGTGTCAAAGGTTCCAAATTTTATTGTAGACTATCATCGCAATATGGGGGAAATACACTGTCATGTAAAACTGTCTTAGTTTAAAGAAGTTAAGAAGTGGTCAAACAAGTGTAACGCATGAAGAGTGAGCAAGACGTCCATCAACCTGCACTCCAGATGACAACATTCAGCAAGTTCAAGAGTTGGTTCTGGCGAATGACCATCGATGAGGTCACATCTGCATTAAAACATCAGTCATGGTTCTGCCCATAAAATCATCCAGTCAGCCAGTTTGGTTTGGGCAGGTTATGAGACATGATCTGATTGCAAAGACTGTATATCAAGCATTATTGGAGGGTAGTCGAAGAAGAGGGGGGCAAAGAAGAAACTGGAATGACAACATCAAGAAATGGACAGAACTAAATTATCATACACTTGTTCAACAAGCACAAGACACAGAAAGAGGGCAGATTTGGTCTCCTAGCACTTTAATCCTAATGGTTCAAGGGTTATGTTATGTTTTGAGCAAAGGCACACACATAAAATAAAAAATACCACAGAGTCATTGTCAACATACAATATTATTGCTTCACCTACCATACAGGGTTCTCCCAGAACTTGACCCAGTTTGTTCTCTCGACGGTCAGGCAGGCTCTGGTCTAGGATCTTACCCACAACAACAGACAGTGAACAAATATATGTTATCATTCTATACAGGCTATTCTCTCCATCCACCTTTCAAGTCAGGAATTACAGACAGGAATAGTTATAATTTACAACCATGAACACTGCAGACACAGAAGGACACACATATGAAAATGCTAGCGTTTTAGGGGAACGGGACTTACAGGGAGGTAGAAGAGTGCCAGATACCTCCCTGTAAGTCTGTTTCTTGCTATTTCATAGTTTTTATTTGGGTATACAATGCTCTTCCTACATTCTACAGACCAATCAGCAGCTGATGAGGGATGTGGTCAGTACTGGTCAACTGCCTTTACTTCCCAAGAAATTTCCTGAATCACAGATGTGATCCCAGTATGTCTCTATGATATCTGTGTGTGCTGGGACTGGAGGGAAACCAGACATTTGCTGTCACTATCCCAGTCTGACCTTTTGTTTGCTGCACTAGGTTTGTCACATTGTCACGCTGCACAGATCGTCTTTAATAGGTGTGTTTGTTCAGATGGAAAAGCTGAGTCTGCTGTAGAAGTGATGAGCTCACAATCTCCTTTTCACCGAATGGAAGAGCCTGTTATGTTTCTGTTGTGTCTAATTATTGCATTAATGGTCCATGTCCATAGACACAGTGGTGATGATCATGGGCAACCAAATCCTACAAAAAAATGACTGAACCAAATGAAATGGAAAACATGTCTTTTGTCCGCTAGGCTGCTACCAGAAGATTCGACCCCTGCCACTTAAAGAGTCACAGCCTGGGTGACAAAAAAAAAAAAAAACCTGTTCAACCTCTTCAGAATTTATAATTTCATAACAGCTGCACAAAGTACAACCATTTGTTTTTCTTTTTTTTAATTTTTTTTTTTTTTTTCACATTACAATTTGTATTACATAAAAATAATGTAAATTGACAAGGGCATCATGTGTCTTCTTCTCCTATCTGTGTGTTGACAGTGTTGCCATTTGTTTGTGTCATGACAGTGTTGCCATTTGTTTGTGTGATGACAGTGTTGCCATTTGTTTGTGTGTTGACAGTGTTGCCATTTGTTTGTGTGTTGACAGCGTTGCCATTTGTTTGTGTGTTGACAGTGTTTGTGTGTTGACAGTGTTGCCATTTGTTTGTGTGTTGACAGTGTTGCCATTTGTTTGTGTGTTGACAGTGTTGCCATCTGTTTGTGTGTTGACAGTGTTGCCATCTGTTTGTGTGTTGACAGTGTTGCCATCTGTTTGTGTGTTGACAGTGTTGCCATCTGTGTGTGTGTTGACAGTGTTGCCATTTGTTTGTGTGTTGACAGTGTTGCCATTTGTTTGTGTGTTGACAGTGTTGCCATTTGTTTGTGTGTTGACAGTGTTGCCATTTGTTTGTGTGATGACAGTGTTGCCATTTGTTTGTGTGATGACAGTGTTGCCATTTGTTTGTGTGATGACAGTGTTGCCATTTGTTTGTGTGTTGACAGTGTTGCCATTTGTTTGTGTGATGACAGTGTTGCCATCTGTGTGTGTGTTGACAGTGTTGACAGTGTGTGTGTGTTGACAGTGTTGACAGTGTTTGTGTGTTGACAGTGTTGCCATCTGTGTGTGTGTTGACAGTGTTGACAGTGTGTTTGTGTTGACGACAGTGTTGACAGTGTGTGTGTTGACAGTGTTGACAGTGTTGCCATCTGTGTGTGTGTTGACAGTGTTGACAGTGTGTGTGTATTGACGACAGTGTTGACAGTGTGTGTGTTGACAGTGTTGCCATCTGTTTGAGTGTTGACAGTGTTGCCATCTGTTTGTGTGTTGACAGTGTTGCCATCTGTTTGTGTGTTGACAGTGTTGACAGTGTTGCCATCTGTTTGTGTGTTGACAGTGTTGCCATCTGTTTGTGTGTTGACAGTGTTGCCATCTGTTTGTGTGTTGACAGTGTTGCCATCTGTTTGTGTGTTGACAGTGTTGCCATCTGTTTGTGTGTTGACAGTGTTGACAGTGTTGCCATCTGTTTGTGTGTTGACAGTGTTGCCATCTGTTTGTGTGTTGACAGTGTTGCCATCTGTTTGTGTGTTGACAGTGTTGCCATCTGCTAGTGTTAGGTGTTACCTGAGAATACAGTCAAAATTGACAAAGTTCACAAACATATTTCAATATGGTGATGATGATAGTGTTCTTTCTCTCTCACTTCCTGTTGTTTAGTAAACTCTCATTCTCCCTCCCTCCCCAGGTTCCCTCATCTGTCGCTAGCCCACATCAAACACAAAATTAATGTGGTTCATGATATGGGTAGACAAAGATAAGAAGATATTTGGGCAGATACAGCAATTTTGAGACAGGCTAAGTCTATTTAAATAAAATAAATAAAAAGACACAAACATAAAGACAAACAAATGTAATACCTCTTCAAATGTTGTGTACAAACTGGTTGCCTGTTGAAAAACAAACATAAAAATATCTGAAAACACAATGAAGAAGACAAAAGACTGAAACAATAAAACATTTGTGACAACATAAATCAAGCAATCGTTCCAGACACATGTATTTCCAATTTATTTCACCTTATTTTGACTCAATCTCTGTCCCCATGTGGGATCAATTTTCGATTATTTTAAAGCCCTACCCAGGTTGTTCCTGGGGGCCCTAATATAACCTACAGTTGAACGGAGTTTCTGGGACCTCTCCACAGGTGATCCTCACCCTAATGGTGGCACTTTGTGTCAACAGGTGTTTATCGCTCAACGTGATCTCCTGGTGGGGTAAAAAGTCAGTCACCTTATGTTCTGTGAAAGTGATAACTTATCTTCCTTAATTTCCGCACAACTGACAAATTATCTTCCTTATGTTTCGTGAGACTGATAACTTATTTCCCTTACTGTCTGTGTGGCTGTAAACTCATCTCCCTTATGTTCTGTCAGACTGGTAACTTATCTGACTTATGTTCTGTCAGACTGGTAACTTATCTTCCTTATGTTCTGTCAGACTGGTAACTTATTTGACTTATGTTCTGTCAGACTGGTAGCTTATCTGACTTATGTTCTGTCAGACTGGTAACTTATTTGACTTATGTTCTGTCAGACTGGTAGCTTATCTGACTTATGTTCTGTCAGACTGGAAACTTATCTCCCTTATGTTCTGTCAGACTGGTAACTTATCTCCCTTATGTTCTGTCAGACTGGTAACTTATCTCCCTTATGTTCTGTCAGACTGGTAACTTATCTCCCTTATGTTCTGTCAGACTGGTAACTTATCTCCCTTATGTTCTGTCAGACTTGTTACTTATATGGTACTTATCTCCCTTATGTTCTGTCAAACTGGTAACTTATCTCCCTTATGTTCTGTCAAACTGGTAACTTATCTCCCTTATGTTCTGTCAGACTGGTAACTTATCTACCATTCTGAATGTGGTTAAACATGTACACTGGCAATCACCAAGGTGAAAACTGACATTTTTGTTGGAAAAGCTATTCCTTTACCTTTGCATTTCAAACATGGCTGCCAGCATAAATAATATATATCTGTCATCAGGCTGCAATCAATAACCTGTACTTAAGGCAGTTACTGTACAAAGCATATTTGTAATGAAGTAGATATAATACATGTAATGAGGCTACTGCATACCTTATATATGTGTCACCATAAACCTACCTCGGCAGTAACAAGTCTGTGAGGACAATCATTGACAACCACAAACAGCCGCCTCAGTGAGTGCTCTAGCAGTGGCAGCAGCAGGACAGAACACAGCCCGTACCTGTTGGTAACATACACCTTGATCACATGAAAGATACAGACCACTCTAACAGTGACAGAGACTGTAGCAATGTCAATTCTATACAGACACCCTGGCCACATTTGCTTTGTCAGCTCAAGTCTAGTTTACTAGCTTAAGGATAAATACCCATGCTGCACCAGGACAAATACCCATGCTGCACCAGGACAAATACCCATGCTGCACCAGGACAAATACCCATGCTGCACCAGGACAAATACCCATGCTGCACCAGGACAAATATCCATGCTGCACCAGGGCAAATACCCATGCTGCACAGGACAAATACCCACTCTGCACCAGGACAAATACCCATGCTGCACCAGGACAAATACCCATGCTGCACCAGGACAAATACCCACTGTGCACCAGGACAAACATCCATGCTGCACCAGGACAAATAACCATGCTGCACCAGGACAAATACCCATACTGCACCAGGACAAATACCCATGCTGCACCAGGACAAATACCCATGCTGCACCAGGACAATTACCCATGCTGCACCAGGACAAATACCCACTCTGCACCAGGACAAATACCCATGCTGCACCAGGACAAATACCCATGCTGCACCAGGACAAATACCCATGCTGCACCAGGACAAATACCCATGCTGCACCAGGACAAATACCCATGCTGCACCAGGACAAATACCCATGCTGCACCAGGGCAAATACCCATGCTGCACCAGGACAAATACCCATGCTGCACCAGGACAAATACCCATGCTGCACCAGGACAAATACCCATGCTGCACCAGGACAAATACCCATGCTGCACCAGGACAAATACCCATGCTGCACCAGGACAAATACCCATGCTGCACCAGGACAAATACCCATGCTGCACCAGGACAAATACCCATGCCGCACCAGGACAAATACCCATGCTGCACCAGGACAAATACCCATGCTGCACCAGGACAAATACCCATGCTGCACCAGGTTTCTCCTGGCTACAGTAGCCACAGAAGACCAGTATTCTATGTGTGCACCCCAGGTGAGGCCCAACAAGATTACTGATTGCTACAATAGGTGAACATTTTAGCTACACTTCTAGCTCAATGTGTAGCTATATCACACACATACCCCTCAAACAAGTTACATATCTCAAATGTTATGTTTGAAGAACTCTTGTCTCACTTTTGATGTTTCAGGAACGCAAGAGCAGCTTTGAAGAAGTTAATGTTTTCACTGGTAACAAGCCAGCTGTTTAATAAACATTCCTCCAGAGATCTGGCTGCAGCGTCAGGCAGCTCTGACAGACCTGACACATTCAAACATTTCAATGTTAGAAACAGAGAAAAGACAGTAATGCAATTCTGTCTACTGTTAATGGTTGTAGAATTCCTCTCATTCTTGTTCATTGCTGTTCTACTAATGTCTTTACAAGAAATATTGTGTTTGTTCACTGTTGTTTGACTAATGTCTTCACAAGAAATCTTGTATCTGTTCACATGTTTGACTAATGTCTTCACAAGAAATCTTGTCTCTGTTCACATGTTCGACTAATGTCTTCACGAGAAATCTTGTCTCTGTTCACATGTTCGACTAATGTCTTCACAAGAAATTTTGTCTCTGTTCACATGTTTGACTAATGTCTTCACAAGAAATCTTTTCTCTGTTCACTTATTTGACTAATGTCTTCACAAGAAATCTTGTCTCTGTTCACATGTTCGACTAATGTCTTCACAAGAAATCTTTTCTCTGTTCCCATGTTTGACTAATGTCTTCACAAGAAATCTTGTCTCTGTTCACATGTTCGACTAATGTCTTCACAAGAAATTTTGTCTCTGTTCACATGTTTGACTAATGTCTTCACAAGAAATCTTGTCTCTGTTCACATGTTTGACTAATGTCTTCACAAGAAATCTTGTCTCTGTTCACATGTTTGACTTATGTCTTCACAAGTAATCTGGTTTGTTCAAATGTTCTAATGTCTTTACAAGAAATATTGTGTTTTTCACATGTTCTAATGTCTTTACAAGAAATATTGTGATGTTCAAATGTTCTAATGTCTTCACAAGAAATCTTGTGTTTTTTCACATGTTCTCATGTCCTTGTTAGAAGTTTTATGTAACCCCCCCCCCCCCTTCCCGTCCCGCCCATTTTACTCATATCTATTTTTTTTAAAGTCGGGTAATGTGGATCTATGTTGTGTCATGAAAAGCTGACTGAGTTGCTCCGATACCTTTGTCTGGTTGTGTGACTCTGTAGGCCACAGTTCAAGTCTTAAATGACAAATATGGCAGACCTTAAGGAAATGGGGGGAAGAGGGAACCAGTTTTGAGACCTCGTCAGTATTTGTCCCTAATCTTGTCCCCTCTCTTGTACTATCTCTTGTTCCGTCTCTTGTCCCCTCTCTTGTCCCATCTCTTGTTCCGTCTCTTATGTCCCCTTATGATACAGAGCACCATTACCTCTTTTTCTTAAATAGCTAACGATGATTGGTTGATTTCCAACACAGGTGTAAAATAAACACCAGTAATTACAAGTCTAACAAGGAAAGATCGCCTTAGGAACAATATCAGCAATTGCTAGCAAAGCCAGAGGTCGACCCCTAGAAGATATACTACAAAAATATCAGACACTAAAAAGTACCATATATGAAGCATCAAGAAGAGCCCTTTCCAGAGATCTCTTCCTGCCCTGACGCTGCCAGGCATTCCAGGAGTTGAAAACAGAAAAATAAGAATTACAAATCTCACAATTCTGATCAGGCAACTCAAGAAGTGTCTGTGTCATTTATATCAAGACTGAATCATATTCTTAAAAAATTTGAACAATAATGAGATTTGTGTCATTTATGTGAAGACTGAATCACTACTGAAATTACGTTCTAACAATAATGAGATTTGTGTCATTTATGTGAAGACTGAATCACTACTGAAATTACGTTCTAACAATAATGAGATTTGTGTCATTTATGTGAAGACTGAATCACTACTGAAATTATGTTCTAACAATAATGAGATTTGTGTCATTTATGTGAAGACTGAATCACTACTGAAATTACGTTCTAACAATAAGGCTACACTTGTCACAATCTGGCCAGCATTCTTACCACAAGCGGCTGCTATGTCATCGGTCCTTGTCAACGAGTGGTAATCTCTGGCACAAATATCCCCATGGTAGATCCCCCGATCTTGCAACACCCGCCCCAGACTGGCCGTCAGCAGCAACAGGAAGAAGATGTACCTGAGCACAGAATGAAATATTTTGTCACAATTGAGAATGAAACATTTTGTCTAGAACTGAGAATGAAACATTTTGTCTAGAACTGAGAATGTAACATTTTGTCTAGAACTGAGATAGGTTGCTGAATGGCTTAAGATGCTGCTAGTTATATGCATGCAGTATATATTCAACTTTTGGCAACTAACAACTCATAGACATTTCTAAAAAAATATATTATTTTCTCTCTCTCTCTCTCTTTCTGTCTCCTTCTCTCGCTCGCATGCACACACACACACACACACTCAAACACATGCATATTTACACATCAGACATCAGGGTTTCTGGATTTGATCCTGCTGGATTCACATCCTAGTAGTGACTCTTTGCATTACTGGGTGGCGATCCTTCGGCTGTAATCCTACAGGGAAAACCTGAACAAACATCGCCAACACATTATGGACATCAAACTACCTGAACTTCCCATGATGCCGCCTGGAACCCGTTGCATGGTAGGTTTACCTTGCAGCCTAGATCATTTGTTTCAAAACTCTGTCCTAGTGTGGACTGAACCAAAAACCTTCAGGTCAGCATCTAGCTACTGGGCCACCACAACTTTACCTACCTGCTAACAATGTTGACACCACTTCTGACAATGTCGACACCATTTCTGTCAATTTTTACATCATTTTTGGCAATGTCGCCTCACACCTACCCCCAGTGTATTTGATCAATTGAGGCCGCTGTCCTAATGGTATCTTCAGCTAGTTCCATCCAGGACTTGACTCTTTCTAACCGGCCTCCTATAAAATGTGTCAGACTGCCAGGGAGTGAATGCCCTTTATCACTGATAACTTGCACATAGGCCTTGACCTGCCCTAGTGACATTCTATACTTTACCAATGTCAGCCCAAGCATATACCTCACTGATCTAAATGGTGTAATGTTGACAACCACTTCTGTCAATGTTTACACCATTTCTGACAATGCTGACCCCACTTCTGTCAATGCTGACACCACTTCTGTCAATGTTTACATCATTTCTGACAATGCTGACCCCACTTCTGTCAATGCTGAAACCACTTCTGTCAATGTTTACATCATTTCAGACAATGCTGACACCACTTCTGTCAATGTTTAAATCATTTCTGACAATGCTGACCCCACTTATGTCAATGTTTACATCATTTCTGACAATGCTGACCCCACTTCTGTCAATGCTGACCCCACTTCTGTCAATGTTTACACCATTTCTGACAATGCTGACCCCACTTCTGTCAATGTTTAAATCATTTCTGACAATGCTGACCCCACTTCTGTCATTGTTTACACCATTTCTGACAATGCTGACCCCACTTCTGTCAATGTTTACACTCATTTCTGACAACGTTGACCCCACTTCTGTCAATGTTTACATCATTTCTGACAATGTTGACACCACTTCTGTCAATGTTTACATCATTTCTGACAATGCTGACCCCACTTCTGTCAATGTTTACACCATTTCTGACAATGCTGACCCCACTTCTGTCAATGTTTACACCATTTCTGACAATGCTGACCCCACTTCCATAAATGTTTACATCATTTCTGACAATGCTGACCCCACTTCTGTCAATATTTACATAATTTCTGACAATATGGACATCATTTCTGTTAATGCTGACATCATTCCTGTCAATCTGGACATAATTTCTGTCAGTGTTGACATTCATTCTATAATTCAGAATACAAATTCAGAGACATTTCTGTCATAATGATGTTGACATAATTCTTGATATTGATGAACATTCGATGGTAATGACATAATTTTTTATACTGCTGATGCTGTCATATCTTCTACAAGATGTCTATGACAAAACAGCATTACAAATATTGGCTGCTGGTACCAACTGACCTTCGTGGGAGTTCATGCTCCGACAGGAAGCCATGCCAGCAAACATTGCGGATGTTCATAGAGACGGGTGGTCCGATGACAACTTGCAACAGTCGCAGCTAAAACCAAGAATTACACAAGGAAACATTTCTTATTTTACTCTCTGATTTTTTTTTAATGTGTGTTTCTTTTTTCTGTTGTCTTTTTCTGTGTCTGACCAGACTGCTGCAGACAAATAGAGACAAAGCAACAGGAAACTGTGAGATAGACTATAGAAAGCAATCAGGGACCAACTTCAGGGAGACAGACAGACAGACAAGGATCAGACAAATGGGGACATAAACCTGCAGTCTTTTAGATAAACTGGGCTCAATGGAAGACAGGGGACAAATAAATAGGATAACGCAAGGCTGGGGACAGGTAAACAAGAGATACAGGAAGGCTGGGGACAGGTAAACAAGAGATACAGGAAGGCTGGGGACAGATAAACAAGCGATACAGGAAGGCTGGGGACAGGGAAGGAAGCAGGGACAATGGTAGGCCGGGGACAACAATCTCAACACAAATGAGTCAATGAGACACAAAAGAAGCAGGATATGATGAACTGTGTCAAAGATCTAGTGAAATAGTGCAATAGTCAGAATGAAATAGTAATACAATTCTGATAAATTGGTGTGATAATTCTGAAGAAACTGCAATAATTCTGAAAAAATGGTGCAACAATTCCAAATGAAACTGCAATAATTCTTATGAAGAAGTGCAATAATTCTTTAAAAAATGCAAAAGATCTGAAGAAACAGCAATAAATCTGATGAAACTGCAATAATTCTGACAAAATGGTGCAACAATTCCAAATGAAACTGCAATAATTCTTATGAAGAAGTGCAATAATTCTTTAAAAAATGCAAATGATCTGAAGAAACTGCAAATAAATCTGATGAAACTGCAATAATTCTTACAAAAATGCAAAAGATCTGAAGAAACAGCAATAAATCTGATGAAACTGCAATAAATCTGATGAAACAGCAATAATTCTGAAGAAACTGCACAAATGTACCTGATGATATCAACAGGTAATGATCAAATCTTTCAAGTGCACAGCTTCTTCAGCAGCTAGTTTCTCTCAGCCTCTCTCCTCATCAGCACAGGAAACAAGAACAGCTGTTTTTCTCTCTATCTTCCCTTCATTCTCTTGACCACCTTGACCTCATTCACTCTCTCTATCCTTCTTCCACCCTCTATCTGTATGTGTGTGGTGTGTGCATCTCTCTCTCTCTCTCTCTCTCTCTCTCTCTCTCTCTCTCTCTCTCTCTCTTTCTCATATAAGGTGCCTTGCAAGAAATGTCAGTGTTCCTGTTTGTGTCTAGATCTTGGTTGTGGACACAGTTTTGTTATATCCCTCCATGTCAGCATGTTAACCAGCTCACAACATTTCTCTGGGTCTGCCCCTGCCTCTTCTGCTGGCTGACCTCTCCTGTCATGCCAAAGATCTCTACTGCATTTTTTTTTTATCAGACGACCAAAGGACACAACTTGTTTGTTTATGATAGTTGCATTACACATGACTTTCACTAGCTGACTCCATTTCTGTAAAATGTGTGTGTGTGTGTGTGTGTGTGTGTGTATGTCTGTGTGTGTGTGTGCATGCGTGAGAGTGTGTGTGTGTGTACATACATTTGTGCGTGCATATAATTGTGTATGTGTGTGTGTGTGTGTGCATGTAATTATATAACTGACCACATGAGGTCCAAGGGATTGCTCCAGCTCTCTAGCAGTGATCAGGTCCTTCAACATCAGGGGACACTGTTTCCCTCCAAGCAAAAATAGCTGTAAAATACATCACAGATGAACAACTCACTTGAAGGTCATGATTCAAGTACACTTAGTAAAAAAATCACTGTTCTTTATGGCCATGAAACTTAGTCAACCTATTTGTACCAGAAGAAATGGCTACTGGCGAGACAAGATAAACACTAAGATACTGGAAAGAGCAGGTATCACAACAGTTTTCCTCATGCTCAGTCTGTGAAGGCTCAGGTGGTTGGGAAATACTTTGAGAATGAATATTTATCCTAAGGACATCCTCTATAGTAAATGACAGATGTGTAGAAGATGTTGAGTCAGCTTCTATTACAATAGAGACTGTTCAAGTAGGGCATGAATGACTCGGATAGATATAGATTCATGGGAACAAAATACCATGGACTGCGCTGCATGGAGGAGACAAATCAGGAAGGAAAGGGAAATAGAAGAGAACATGATGGCAGAAAGAAAGAGAACATGACGGCAGAAAGAAAGAGAACATGACGGCAGAAAGAAAGAGAACATGATGACAGAAAGAAAGAGAACATGATGGTTGAAAGAAAGAGAACATGATGACAGAAAGAAAGAGAACATGATGGCAGAAAGAAAGAGAACATGACAGCACAAAGAAGAGAACATGATGACAGAAAGAAAGATAACATGATGACAGAAAGAAAGAGAACATGATGACAGAAAGAAAGAGAACATGATGACAGAAAGAAAGAGAACATGATGGCAGAAAGAAAGAGAATATGATGACAGAAAAAAATAGAACATGATGGTAGAAAGAAAGAGAACATGATAGCACAAGGAAAGAGAACATGATGACAGAAAGAAAAAGAACATGATGACAGAAAGAAAGAGAACATGATGACAGAAGGAAAAAGAACATGATGACAGAAAGAAAGAGAACATGATGGCAGAAAGAAAGAGAACATGATGACAGAAAGAAAGAGAACATGATGGCAGAAAGAAAGAGAACATGATGACAGAAAGAAAGAAAACATGATGGTTGAAAGAAAGAGAACATGATGACAGAAAGAAAGATAACATGATGACAGAAAGAAAGAGAACATGATGACAGAAAGAAAGAGAACATGATGACAGAAAGAAAGAGAGCATGATGGCAGAAAGAAAGAGAATATGATGACAGAAAGAAAGAGAACATGATGGTAGAAAGAAAGAGAACATGATAGCACAAAGAAAGAGAACATGATGTCAGAAAGAAAAAGAACATGATGACAGAAAGAAAGAGAACATGATGACAAAAAGGTGATGAGCTAAACGTCTGAGAAGAAGTACATTAAATTCATGTGATGGCAACAAAAGTTGTGAAATCCCAGGCTCTGATTGTGGAAAACAGCAGGTATTGCTGGTCCCCGTCGTTACCTCCATGCAGGTATTGCTGGTCACCGTCGCCATCTACGTGGGCTGTACAGCACAATACAACTATCCTCTAGGAGAATGGACAGGTGTCAACAAAAATGTTAGGGTTTTCTAGTTTATCATAAATGAAGGGAAACAAAACGCTACAGGTGAGTCGCACTGAAGGTTGTTCTTTGATACCCTCAACTGCTTTCTAATGACTTCAGCTCAAACCAGCAGGAAACCACATCCTTGATAACAGACATGCTGCAGAGATTATTATAAAACAATCCAAGGCCACCCTAGACAATCTGAAAGTGATGCCTGACGATAAATGTCCATGGTGTTCCAAAGTCAAGCGAGCATTTATGAAATATTTCATGGGAACAGAGAACTCTGGGATAGATGTGGCATCTGATGACTGCTTTCTGAATAGTCAGCTCTTGATTCCATTGATGAAACCAGTGCATGGCAGTTTGGTGCCATATTGCCAGCAATTGAAATGAAACCCAGCCCCTAAGCCACAGACGCTGATGATGAAGACACAATGGAAATACCCAATGCGTGTTCATGTCAACTTTGTTAACAACATAGAAAAGAAAAACCTAACAAAAATTTTTTTAACTTCAATCATAAACAAATACCTGTGGATTTTTAGTCCATAACAAGGACTCTTCATAAATGTGAGAAAACTCCTCAAGTGGCATGTCTTGGAGAATATCTTGTGAACATCTGAACGTCTCTGCCAGGGCAGACACTGAGTTTATGTAATAATCTTCGGCAGGCTGACCTGAAACTAATGGTAAATCATTTCCAGGTTGTAATGTGAACATGTAGAAGCAACATTGATTGTTTATGAACTTGTAAGAATAATTATACCATAAAAAGAGACTCAACCACACAAGAAGTAGTAGAATGTCCAGAAGATAAGGATGAACTTGAAGTTGGATAGCTCATTAACTCATTGGTTGGTTTAGAGCTCGCTGCTAGGAGGATCATTGCAAAACCTCAGGAGGACTGCAGACTGGGATAATATCTTGGTTAGTAATACTTTCTCCACAGTTTTGAGATATTTAACTGTCAAGAGAGACCAGATAAAAGACCACTGAGACATCAAAATGACCATATCTATGATACCAACCAGACAGCTGCCTAGAACTCTAGACAAAAACAAGAACATGGCACCAGCCTCCCAGCAGACCTAGCCATCTAGAAGACAAGAACATGACACCAGTCTGCCTGTTGACCCAGCCCTCTATAAGACAACAAGAACATGAAGGGCACCAGCCTGCCCCCAGCAGACAACAGAACATGACACCAGTCTGCCTGTTGACCCAGCCCTCTAAAAGACACAAGAACATGCCTGTTGACCCAGTCCTCTATAAGACAAGAACATGACACCAGCCTGCCTGTTGACCCAGCCCTCTATAAGACAACAAGATGGCACCATGCCTGTTGACACCATAAGACAACAAGAACATGACACCAGCCTGCCTGTTGACCCATAAGCCCTCTATAAGACAACAAGAACATGACACTAGCCTGCCTGTTGACCCAGTCCTCTATAAGACAACAAGAACATGACACCAGCCTGCCTGTTGACCCAGCCCTCTATAAGACAACAAGAACATGACACCAGCCTGCCTGTTGACCCAGCCCTCTATAAGACAACAAGAACATGACACCAGCCTGCCTGTTGACCCAGTCCTCTATAAGACAACAAGAACATGACACCAGCCTGCCTGTTGACCCAGCCCTCTATAAGACAACAAGAACATGACACCAGTCTGCCTGTTGACCCAGCCCTCTATAAGACAACAAGAACATGGACACCAGCTGCCTGTGCCTGTTGACCCAGCCCTCTATAAGACAACAACACCATCTGCTGTTGAACATGACACCAGCCTGCCTGTTGACCCAGCCCTCTATAAGACAACAAGAACATGACACCAGTCTGCCTGTTGACCCAGCCCTCTATAAGACAACAAGAACATGACACCAGCCTGCCTGTTGACCCAGCCCTCTATAAGACAACAAGAACATGACACCAGTCTGCCTGTTGACCCAGCCCTCTATAAGACAACAAGAACATGACACCAGCCTGCCTGTTGACCCAGTCCTCTATAAGACAACAAGAACATGACACCAGTCTGCCTGTTGACCCAGCCCTCTATAAGTGACACCAGTCTGCCTGTTGACCCAGCCCTCTATAAGACAACAAGAACATGACACCAGTCTGCCTGTTGACCCAGTCCACTATAGACAGACACAAGAACATGACACCAGTCTGCCTGTTGACCCATAAGTCCAAGAACATCACTAGTACCAGTAAGACAACAAGAACATGACACCAGTCTGCCTGTTGACCCAGCCCTCTATAAGACAACAAGAACATGACACCAGTCTGCCTGTTGACCCAGCCCTCTATAAGACAACAAGAACATGACACCAGTGCCTGCCTGTTGACACCAGACACCAGTCTGCCTGTTGACCCAGTCCTCTATAAGACAACAAGAACATGACACCAGCCTGCCTGTTGACCCAGTCCTCTATAAGACAACAAGAACATGACACCAGTCTGCCTGTTGACCCAGTCCTCTATAAGACAACAAGAACATGACACCAGTCTGCCTGTTGACCCAGTCCTCTATAAGACAACAAGAACATGACACCAGTCTGCCTGTTGACCCAGCCCTCTATAAGACAACAAGAACATGACACCAGTCTGCCTGTTGACCCAGCCCTCTATAAGACAACAAGAACATGACACCAGTCTGCCTGTTGACCCAGTCCTCTATAAGACAACAAGAACATGACACCAGCCTGCCTGTTGACCCAGTCCTCTATAAGACAAGAACATGACACCAGCCTGCCTGTTGACCCAGCCCTCTATAAGACAAGAACATGACACCAGCCTGCCTGTTGACCCAGCCCTCTATAAGACAACAAGAACATGACACCAGCCTGCCTGTTGACCCAGCCCATGACACCAGTCTGCCTGTTGACCCAGCCCTCTATAAGACAACAAGAACATGACACATGCCACCCAGCCTCTATAAGCCTGTTGACCCAGCCCTCTATAAGACAACAAGAACATGACACCAGTCTGCCTGTTGACCCAGCCCTCTATAACCAGACAAGAAACATGAACACACAGTCTGCCTGTTGACCCAGTCCAAGAACATCTATAAGACAAACAAGAACATGACACCAGCCTGCCTGTTGACCCAGCCACTCTACCCGACCCTCTAAGACAACAAGAACATGACACCAGTCTGCCTGTTGACCCAGCCCTCTATAAGACAACAAGAACATGACACCAGCCTGCCTGCTGACCCAGCCCTCTATAAGACAACAAGAACATGATACTATCCAGCCAGCTGAGTCAGCCCTTCAGAAGACAACAAGAACACTAGAGACAAAGGTGATGTGTTTCATTAAGAACTGACAGAAGTCTGTTAACAATAAAATACATAAAACTTGTGGAAGAAACTTGCCTCTCCGTGCGTGGCGATGCCTCACACCAGCTAGTCTGTACATTCTATGAACTCAGTCATGATCTGTTAGTCTAAATACTGTGTGTGTAGATGGAAGTTTGGTAGTAAGTCAGCTGAAAAGTCTCTATATTACTATCTTAGCTTTAATACAAATAATGTATCATTTACTACCTTCATAAACCGACCACTTTTCTCTTGACTTCTACTTTTTATTTCTGTACGCACACATTAAAGCTGCCTTACTTTTCTCCTCTTCATTTTCCTGGCCTACAGATGGTCATTATAGACTTCACTAAAAACACACACAAATTTTGTTTTGTCTACACAGGATAGGCAGGATCCGTTGTTGTATACTAGTAGAGCTTCTGAGAAGACTGGAGCAGATATGGATCTGTACTGAGTGCTCTCATGATAGTCCTGGCTCAACACTTCACTTTCTACTCTGCACATTATGACTTTTCTAATGGCCATTTCTGTTTGTGTCTGTTGTTGTTGAGTACAACAGTTCTACTAGCAGCGATCATATAAGCACACCCTGCCCCTGTTCTTCTCTAATTATTATAATTCTAAATGTGTAGAACTGATGACTCACTCCTGGGCAGCAGGTCAGCACACTGATCAAACAGAATAAACCCGTCTGCAGACAGCAGGTCTTGTTGACGTCGTAGGCGCCCCCGTACTGCTGCTGGCTCAGTACAGACCTCGGCAGCAACACTTCTGCTGGAAACATCGTCTGCAACCCCAATGTCACATAGCAACTGTTTCACTACGGGACTTAGAGCCGAGGAACTCTCGTTTTTTACTAGGGAATAAATAAAACTGGTTGGGCGGTCTGTTGAAGCCATCACAAAAGTTTATTCTCAATGGAAACATAATTCACAAACACAAGATTAGCTCTGTGGTGTGTTGGGATAAGAGTATTGGACTATTGGGTGCCATATTTGTAAACATGCAAGATAACTGATTTTAGAATACAAGAGCTACAAGAGTCTTCGCCGTAGAAATGCAGCTTCTGTGATTTCGCATAAAGTGATACACTGATAGTAACCGGACGCAACACAATAATGGCTGAAATAGGGTCCTAATGGAGCAATGATGCGCACGTCATCTTCATGACCTTCACGTCATGGATCCTGTTCTTCCCAGCGATCGAGTGGAAGGTTGGGATCTCAACCCCATGTGGAAAACTGGATGGGACAACAAATGTGTGTGTTGTCCATCAATCAGTCTTGCTGTTCTGTTTGCTTCACATGTAGCCACGCCCTTGTGTAGAGCTGCACGCCTTGCATTTCGGCCTTGAGAGGCAGCCTCCCACATGACCAGCCCAACGAATTTGATACTGCATCAGTAGAGTGTGGATGCTGGGCATGGCTGCTTTCTCAAGGACTACGGTATCAGGTACTTTGTCTTGCCATCTGATCTACGTCAGTTTTTTAAGGCAAACTGTGTGAAAGTGGTTTAACTTCCTAGCCTGGCGCTGGTATACAGTACATGTTTCGCATGCGTACAGCAGTGTGGTTGATACAACTGCTCTGTATACTTTAAGCTTTGTCTGCAGGGTTATGCCACTTTTGTTCCAAACATTTTTGTACAATCTGCCAAAGGCAACGCTAGCTCTAGAGATCCATGCATTTACTTCGTCATCAACTGTGGCGCTCTTTGAAAGGGTGCTGTCTAGATAAGTAAATTTCCTGAACACATTTAATCTGTAGCCATTCACTGTGATATTGGCACGATGCATCTTTGCCCTGGTGCCTGGCTACAGTTTTATCTTTGCTAATGGTGAGCCCAAAGTCTGTACAGGCATCACTGAATTTGTCGATGTTGTGCTGCATACCCGCTTCTGTGTTGGCATAAAGGGCACAATCGTCGGCAAACAGGAGCTCCCTGATGATGTCTGATTTAGTTTTTTTTTTTTTTGCTTTTTGCCTCCTGAGGTTGAACAGCTTTTCATCCATGCGGTAATTTATGTTGATTCCAGTGTGATCATTTACAAAAGCATCAGTCAGCAGAGCTGAAAGTAACAGACTGAACAGTGTCGGTGCAAGCACGCAGCTCTGTTTGACTCCGTTTGTGACAGAAAAGGACAGTTGGCCGTTATCCTGCACTCTTGCTTGCATGCCATCATGAAACTGAACTGACGCACTATCTAGATGAACTTGTGTGGGCAACCAAATTTCTCCATAATCCTCCACAGCCCCTCTCGATTTAATGTGTCAAACGCTTTCGTAAGATCAATAAAGGTGGAAAACATGTTCGAATTCTGTTCTTGGCATTTCTCTTGCAGCTGTCTAGCGGCTAAAATCATATCAACAGTTTCACAGTCTTTTCTAAAACAACATTGACTTTCAGGAAGGAGACCTTTGTCGAGATGAGCTGCAAGATGACCCAGTAGAATCCTGGCAAGAATCTTTCCGGCAACTGAAAGCAGTGAGATACCTCGGTGGTTATCACAGGACTGATGGTTTTCTTTACGTTTGTAAAGGTGAATTATTACAGCATCTTTAAGATCACGTGGGATGGTCTCGCTCTCCCAAATTCTGTGAAATATCTTGTTTAGCTGCTCAGTCAGATCTGGACCACTCACTTTGAAGACTTCAGCTGGAATAGCATCTGGACCAGGCGACTTTCCATTGGAAAGGAGATGGATAGCTTTTATGGTTTCCTCCTCAGTTGTAGGTAGATCTGGCAGTGAATCATCGATAGGAACCCAGAGCAGGCATTTAATGGCTTCATCGTTTATGGGTGATGTCTGGTTTAGTACATAATTAAAGTGTTCGACCCAGGGCTTGAGGATTTTTTTCTTTTCTTCGATAAGAGTCTTGCCGTCCACACCAAAAAGGGGAGCAGAGTCTGATGGGGCTGGGCCGTAGACTGCCTTTAGAGAGTCATAGAAGTTTTTCATATCATGTCCATCGGCAAAGTTCTGGATCTCGTCAGCTTTGCTGCTCAGCCAGGAATCCAACATTTGGCGAAGCTTCCATTGTATGACCCTTCATGTTGTTGAAATCCTCTTTCTTTGACGATGACTTGGGGTTACCAAGATAATTCTTATAGAGACGAAGTTTCTCTGCCAGCAGTTTTTCAATGTCTTCTGCATTCTCATCAAACCAGTCTTTGTGAGGTCTTGTGGATTGACCCAGGATTTCCTCAGCTGTTATGTAAATAGTGTCTTTCAGAGTAATCCAATCAGTTTCCAATTTCTGACCCAATGAAGGGTTGGACTGGAGACGGTCATCCAAAGTATCCAAAAAGGACTGTTTTACTTTTTTGATTTTAAGAGGACGGCTGACATTTATCTTTTTAGGCATTTTCACTCCCTGAGGGCGCCTTGGCGGTTGAATGCGGATGTTCTTTTTGGACACTATGAGACGATGAACAGTCCAGCAATCAGCGCCACACATAGATTTGGCCACCCGAACATTTTGTTTATCTTTCCTTCTGACTATGACACAGTCAATAAGGTGCCATTGTTTTAAGCGAGGATGCACCCAAGATGTCCTGTTTCGAATCGGGAGAAGGAATATTGTGTTTGTGATTAGGAGTTCGTGTTCGGCACATGTTTGAAGAAGGAGGAGTCCATTGCTGTTGCAGTTGCATACTCCGTATTTGCCAATAATGCCGTCCCATGAGGCTGTGTCAGTGCCAACTCTAGCATTAAAATCACCCATGATTATTAGTCTGTCTCATGCAGATCTTCATAGAACTTGTTTATCACATCCTCGTAGTTGGTCATCGTTGGAGCATAGGCGCTTATGATGGTTGCATATTTATTTCCCTGTCGCAAAGTATTTCTGATGGTCATAAGGGATAGGACAACAAACGAGATGAACACGAAGGGATGAGCCTACTCTCCCTCTCAAGAGATGCTGAAGTCAAAAATTGGATATCACCGGCAGCTGACAACAACTATTTATTTATTAATTTTTTTTTTTTTTTTTTTGCTGGGGAGGAGAATGCTGCTTTGCAATTTGTTTGTATGGAACTCTACGTGCAATCGGGCAGGATAAATTGCTAATTGTGGTACTGTAGCGGTGGCCCTAAAAAGGGATTTTAATTCTAGATGTATACTGCTGGGTTCACACACGACTTTACAATCAGAACAATTTTACACGTTAGTAGATCTGGAGAGAGGTCAAAATGCGAAAGCTGCTGTTGTGGCAACAGAGACAACAGACTATCGTTGTAATAACACCAGTGCATGATTATTGCCACAACTTCTGGTGCTATTCAGATTGCCAAGATGTTACAGGAAAGCAACGCTGTTTTCCTTGTCAGGCACTGATGCTGCTAATTCCATGAAATTCTTGACGATGAAGAGGGAACATAAAAGTGGCTAGACAGACGTCGCAAACACAAGTCGCTGAAGAAATGCCGCCCGAAAAACAAACGCACAAAAACATTGTTAACGCCTGGCAACTCCTTGGAAGACACACAGATAGCGGGAAAGTCCACTCTTATCACCCTTGAAAATATTGGACTGTCCCGTGATGTCATCTGTGGTGAAATACTGGGAAAGAACCAAAAAGCACAATACTGCGCAACACCAATATGTGCACAATACTGCGCAACACCAATATGTGCACAATACTGCGCAACACCAATATGTGCACAATACTGCGCAACACCAATATGTGCACAATACTGCGCAACACCAATATGTGCACAATACTGCGCAACACCAATATGTGCACAATACTGCGCAACACCAATATGTGCACAATACTGCGCAACACCAATATGTATTATGATGACTACACTGACAGACGAATGTAATATTTGTGCTCACCCTGTGGAGTTCCACCAGGCAGGTGCAGGGCCAGGTTTTGAGTCTCGACAGAATCCACCGCAGCTACTATTCCAGATCGGACCCCCTGGAGAGAGGATTATCAGTTGCCAAAACACATCCAGTCAGAAGTAAAAGGAACATTCGACAAGGCAGAACAAAACAGTGTTTAATGTAAAATAGTCACCTTCAGTCTAATTAATTATGAAACCCACAGGATCTTTGGGTTCTAATCTACACAGATGGGTCAGCACAAAACGAAAGGAGAAACTGAGGAACATAAGTGTACAATGAGCATCCTGATAATACGAGAGATATAGGGAAAATACCTACAGGAAAGCACTGTCACAACTATGACGCAGAAGTTCAAGCCATCAAAACAACAGCAGAGAAACTGCTAAAATATGTCGTATTTCACAACCCGTGGTATTCCTTACAGATGCAAGAGCTGTACTTCGGGCACTTAAATTTGGAAAAATTACCTGAGATACGAACACTACTCTAGACAACTAGACAACCAGTGTTAGGTAACGATGCAATGAATACCATCCCACTGTGAAGTTCCTGAAATTCTTCTTCTTCTTTCGTTCGCATGAAATAAATTGTCTATATCTGCAAAGCTGTCTCTAGTATGAATTTCACTGTCTTTTGTAATTCACTAAGCGGCCCGTAAAGTTTGACTTCCACAAGTGTCTCTTTTGGCCAAAGGTTTTGCCTGGAAGCGTTGAATCTGGGACAGTCTTGAAGGATGTGATCTGTTGTTTCAGGTGCCAGTCCAAAAGTACACATGGCTGATTGGCCAATCTTAAATTTGTTGTACATGTGGGAGCGAAGTCGATTGTGCCCTGTTTTAAGGCGAAGGATAATGACTTGCTCTGGTCTGTCCATAATATGGTAATCATCTTGTGCCAGTTTCGGTGGCATTCTGATTGATTTGATCATTCTCTTCTTCTGTTGATAAGAGACTGGTATGTTAGGTTGTTCTCCAGTTGCACCTTCCTTAGCTAGTTTATCAGCTTTTTCGTTTCCGGGAATTCCACAGTGGGAAGGTATCCACTG